AAAAAAAAAAAAAACTATGCAGATGAATGTTCGTTAATTACGCATACCTATAGCCTTTTCACGAATATTAACGTAATATTGAAACTCTATGGATGCGTTTTCAGTATTTTGTCAACCCTTAAAGTAATATTTCTCTATCTATGAAGTCCGTTGTTTCCGACACCGTTTACTTTCGGCATGAAAACACTTGTACCATAAGCTTATTTTTTGGAAGATCGTTTTTATATAAATATATTTTTGTTTCTCTTTGTTACGAAGCGAGGGCCCCGACCCGCTATCAGACGGTCGTTTTTCGTTTAGGTAAATGAACGTTGATGTGATTGTACATATGTATGTGAACCGTCACAGATCTCTCGTTCGTTTCTCACGAATCCTTCTCCGTTTCATTTCGTTGTTTTCACCGTATCGACAGTAAAGAATTCATTAAAAAATCCAGAAGAATCTTGAACAGAGATGCTATTGGTTAATCGAGTAATTTCGTTTTCCCATTGGAAAGAGATTACATTTAATTATTGATTTCAATTAAAGAGAGAAGATACTTTCAATGAGAATGTGTAGAAGAATTCTCTCTCAACTTCTCTTCCACTTTCTGCAATCCTTTTCTCTTACGAAAGGCTATCGTTAAATTTTCCAGGAATCGATATTCCAATAATCGATAATTCTGTTAATCGGAGCTCTGATAATTGAGCTTCTGCTGTGCCTCAAAATATTTCACGTTGTTCTATAAGTATCATAATTAATCAGTTAAGTAATATTTAATGTTTATCGTTGTTGAACAATATTTAAGTATCATCGTTGTTGAACAATACAGAATATCATTAATTTATGTAATTACAGAACAATGCATAATTCAAGATGAAGAACAATGATTAGAAAGATATAATAATACATGAATAGCGAGTAATTACCATATCGCAACTTTTCTGTCGATACAGGAAACAATAATGCATATAGAACCCTAGCTCGTGGAGTTTTGTCCCTTGGTGGAAAACGTATTTTTTTTTTTTTTACGCTTTCACGTAAATCTACACGCGCATAAATATTTGGTGTTATGTAATATAACAATTTAGACAGAACCTTTTACGTGCTTTTTAGTAAAGGCGTGAGAAATGTTGTGGCAATTATTAAAATTTTAACATTAAATAAACTGTATAAATGTAATTCATAATTAAAATAGTATTTCACAATTTCACAATAAACACAATTTAATGATAAATATTAATTACTTCTAGAAAATCATATTACTTAAAAAATTGATATTAAAATTATATCAAATACGTTCCATTTCGAACGAACCAGTCAGTGAAAAAGTATTTAATTTGCAGCTCACGTTATGTTTTTTATTTAGAATATCCATTTTGTTTTCCAAGACGAGAGAAAGCATTACAATTAATTATAAAAATTTACGAACAATATGAAGATTTTCACTTGTAATTAACGCACTTGTCTCTTATTAGTGACACGTATTAAATTAAAATACCCTCCATCCAATTCAAATTTAATTCCCTCTTTGTCATACACTCTCGTATAATTTTATTCAATCAGACTCGATCCCTATAGTACACGTATACCTGTCCTTACAATATCTGATAGTACGATAGCTTCACTGTATTTGTGTGTTTCCTGTTTCAAACATTAGATTAGACATATTCCCAAAGATGTTGAACCAATACAATAACGTGGCACACGCACCAGTCACGAGTATTTTAATTAGGGGAGCCGTAGATACGCCTCTGTCAAATTAGGCGAGTATTTCCTGCAGAATGTTGTTTCAGATATGCCACCTTGTAGCAGCGATTCGATGAGCGATCAGGATGGCTACGGACCCAGTACGAGCTTAGACTCGAACATGGACGGTCGTCGATTGTGGCAGAGATCAGGTGAAATTTAATTTAAATACTCGTCTGTCGATGTACTGGACCAGAAATTTCTGGTAGAAATGAAATTTATAGTTAACAGGGATAAATCATTGTTACAAATTCTATAAACACGGATGTAATTTATCTCTGGTAGAAATATAGGGATTATGTGATAACCATACATTCTCCCGGTTAATAGTAGCAATTGTACAAATGATTTGAGATTTAGCTGATAACTTATATAATTTTTCAATTTAGGTTCGTCGGGGTCTGTTCAATCTTGGGCTTCCAGTTTATCGGCGGATAGTCAGTCCGAGGAAGCTGCCGCTGACTTTATGAAAACCTTCGTACCTCTTTTATTCG